ATTATAAGGTTTGGGCCTGTGCTATGACATTAGCCTTGGACACTAAAAATAAAATGGGTTTTATAAACGGTACTTGTCTCAGACCTTCAAATGATCCTATCCTACAGAGACAATGGGATCGTTGTAATTCTGTTGTCCTTTCGTGGATTTTGAGTTCCATGACCGAAGATCTTTTTCTTGGTCAAGTCTTCTCTAAAGAATCTGCCAAGGTTTGGGATGAGCTAAAAGAGACATACGATAAAGTGGATGGTTCTGTTACCTTTAACCTTTATCAGAAAATAAATTCATTAAGTCAAGGTGGCATGTCTGTTTCCGAGTACTACCACAAACTTAATTCTATGTGGAGGCAATTTGATGCTTTGGTAAAACTTCCCTCATGTACCTGTAATGCCTCCCGTGATTTCCTGGAACACAGTCAACTTATAAAGTTAATGCAATTCTTAATGGATCTCGATGACATGTATCAACCGATTAGAAGCAATATCCTTACTAAGGACCCCTTGCCTTCTGTAAAAACCGCATTTTCTCTTGTTTCAAGAGAAGAATCACACAGAGATGTAAATCTGTCTCAAACTAGAACTAAGACTCAGAATAGTGCTTTTTTAAGCAAAACTGTTGAAAACAAAAGGAAGACTGGAAAATTTTCAAATCTTATTTGCAAACATTGTGGCATGACTGGTCACATAATCGAAAGATGTTTTAAACTGATAGGATTTCCCAAGGATTTCCAAAATCGTAATAGATCTCAAAATCAAAGTTTTAGACCCCCCGTTGGAAATAATGTTGTCTTTGATTCTCTTTCTCCAAAAAAGGCCAGTTCTAGCTCCACCTTCACCTTCTTCGAGGAACAAATAGCAAAAATTCTAAATTTGATTGATTAGAAAGAAGGAGTCATTGCCAATATGACAGGTATGTCTCATTCTGTTAAAACTGGGTGGATAATAAACTCTGGTGCGAACCAACATATGACTCATAACACCAATTTTTAAGAAAATCTTGTGGATGTTTCTGACCTTGATATCAGGGTCAGTCATCCAAATGGGACAAAGGCTCAAATACATAAAATAGGTGATTTTAAATTAACCAATAATGTCACTTTATTTGATGTCTTAGTCGTCCCAGACTTTAATGTGAATCTATTATCTGTACATAAACTTGCTAAGGATAACAAGGTGTTTGTAAGTTTTGATGAGTCGAAATGCTATGTCCAGGATTCTCTTCGAAAGAGTGTTGTGGGGACTGGTAGCCAGGAGGACGGTCTCTATTTCTTTGATGAAAATCTTAATTGTAAGACTTTCTGTTTTCCAAACTATAAAAATATGTCTTGTTTGGTTTCCACTCAACTGTGGCACAGTAGACTTGGCCATCCTTCACATCAAGTCTTGAGCGTGCTTAAAAGTCATCTTAATATTGCTAATGAGGATAGTGGACCCTGTGATATTTGCCATAAGGCAAAACAAACTAAAGAAAAATTTGATTTAAGTGTTCACAAATCAAAAAATCTAGGTGAGTTAATTCACCTTGATGTCTGAGGTCCTTACCATATACAGAGTAGAGAAGGGTTTAAATATTTTTTGACCATCGTTGATGATTACACTAGGGCTGTTTGGGTGTTTTTGTTGAAAGGAAAACATGAGGTTTGTGAAAACATCATAATTTTTTACAATCTGGTCAGTACTCAATTCGGAAAAACTGTTAAGGTTTTTAGGAGTGACAATGGCACAGAATTTTCAAGTCAAAAGTTAAATGACTTTTTCAAAGATAAAGGAATAATTCATCAGACCTCGTGTGTTTACACTCCCCAACAGAATGGGGTTGTTGAACGTAAACATCGCCATTTACTTAATGTAGCTAGATCTCTTATGTTTCAGGGAGGGATCCCTCTTAACATGTGGAATGAATGTATTCTTACAGCTACTTATCTCATTAATAGAACCCCTTCCTCTGTTTTAAACGGTAAGTGTCCCTACGAGCTCATCTATGGTTTT